AGGAAGGAAGGAAGGAAGGAAGGAAGGAAGGAAGGAAGGAAGGAAGGAAGGAAGGAGAAAGAATCTGGGTCATAGTCATGGAAGTAGAGTCTGAGATCAGGAAGATGCATTACCGTGAAACTCCTCTGTTGGGAATACAGAATGCTATGGTGGGAGCACTTAGCAAGACAAAGATCTTCAACTCATGGCCAAGCGAGAAAGAGAGTAAGAAGGGACTGACATCCAAATACACCCCTGTCAAGGGCATCACCCAGTGACTGGAAGACCTCCTGTTGTGTTCTACTTCCTGCTAATAGTGCCATGAGCTGGGGGCCAAGCTCTAACACATGAGCCTTTAATAGGCATGCCCTCAAACCACACCATAGCATAGTTTATATGAACTGAGGTAGGGAAGGGTGTGGGAGCAGCCAGCATGGGTGGTAGATCAACCAGCCATCTTGTCTGACCTGGTGAAAGAAGATGCCTATGTGCCCTTTAGCAGCGAGAAGGAGCCCAGAGCGATGTGAGGCTCATGAGAAGAAGGAAGCACTAGTCAGGACCAAGGTTGTTCCTTCTCCTCCCTTGAGCATGTTAGTCATTCTGTCTAAGATAATTGGAAAGGCTTCATCTTATTACCTTTTATACTTACCATATTAATTATACCCCTACCTAGGAATTAAAACACTCTACAAGCTAATCTTTTTTTGTCCTTCTGGAGTTTTCCCTTCCTTACCCACATATTCCCATTTGATTCCCATTTTTTCACACACAGTTTCAGGACAGTGTGGGAGAGGATACAGATGCCAAGCTTTAAAATGACATATACTATACATATATTCAGTCCATATAGGTTTTCCATTAAGTGAAAAAAAAAATGGTAATGAGACAAGTTGTGGATCGTGATGGCTAAGAGCATGGCTTCCAAACTTTGAAATGAGTTTAGCACAGTACCTTAATACCACTTTCCCAGTTCATCAATGAGATCAAGAACTGTAGGATTGTGGGAAACATTAAATGAGATGATAAAACAGCACAACTGCTGGGGAGTACACACGGGGGAATTCATGTACATGTGTGTTCATGCATGTGGAGGCCAGAGGTCAGTCCTGGGTGTTGTTCCCCAGGGGCTGCTTGCATTGCGTTCTGAAACAGGTCTCTCACTGGGGCTTGGGACTTGCCAGTTAGACGAGGCTGGCTGGATGGCAAGCTTCAGGCATCTGCCTCCATCCACTTCCTCAGCACGGAGATTCCCAGCGTCTGCCACAGTGCATGGATTTTGATGTGGTGCCTGGAATCAGTCCCGGGTTCTCATGTCTGCTCAGCAAGCCCTTTCCCAGCTGGAGCTACCCCGCCCCCACCCAGCCCCCGGTGTTTACTTTCAGTTGGAACTAAGACTGAAGATTTTCCTGTGGCTTTATACCTACTATATTTGTTGTTGTTGTTGTTGCCTTAATACATTACTTAAAATGCAGAAAACTTTGTTTGGGGGCATTGGGCCAAAAGAAGAAAGGAAAAAATATTAGGAACAGAAACGAGAGTCTAATCTGACCTGTCAATGCCTCCTTCCTCCTCTGGCTTCCCATCTGACCTGTCAATGCCTCCTTCCTCCTCTGCCTTCCCATCTGACCTGTCAATGC